AAACGGCATTGGTTTCAGTGTCATTGTTCCCATGCCTTCGATCTGTACCGCCGCCAGCGTGGAGTTTGGTCTTGGGGCCACAGAGCAGACATACGAATACAAGGAGGAAGAGAAGTGTGTCATCTGGTACATTGGGAAATTTTTGGGTGGAACGGAGCAGCTGTGCAAGATTCGCTTCTCCACGTCTTCGCCCATCACAGCCGCGACAAAGCGTAGCGTGGGTCCCATTTCCATGCGATTTGAGATTCCGCAGTACAGTGTCTCGGGTCTGTGCATCAGAGTGCTTCGTCTTGAGGAACGCAGCAGCTCGTACAATCCAACACGCTGGATTCGTAACGTGACACTTGCAAACTCGTACGTGTTTCGCACCTGCTGATTCAAATTGGATTTTTGTGGTCTATCTCATTATCGATTTACTTTTCCTGTGTATTATTATTATTATTATTATTATTATTGTCGTTGTTTTTCCGTGTGCGTGTGCGTGTTGTTGCTGCTGCTCTAAACTGAATGGTTTCATCACGTTTTTTCCATCGCGTGCGTTATGACCGTACGCCTCACCCACCCGTACCCATCCTTTTATTATTATTATTCTTTTGCCCTTTTCCCCTTTTACGGCTTTGACTTTTTCAACTGCACCGGGCACGGGGATTCATCAAGGCAGGAAACGGCGAGGCGAACTTTGGTGCCCATGACGACGGTGCCACCGTGTTGTGTTGAGCCAACACCGCAACTGCGCATGGGCGTTGACTACCGATGGGATCCTCTTTTTTTTCGTGTACCTTCCCCACGAGGCCCGAGGGTTGATGCGTCGCGCGCGGCGCCGGCAGAACGCGAGGGCGGCGTTTTGCATGTGAAGGAGCAGCAGCGAACCAATGAACGGGGCGGCTCAACCGATATGGCACCGCATCTTACCGGTGGGACACCACGCAACCAAGCAATTACTAGCCCTCGGGTCCGTTGGCGCCGGGAGTCAACCGGCGATAGCGGCCGCGGCTCGCCAAGGATGCTGCGCTCGGAGGATTTTCGGGGTGACCGCGTGCTGCCGTGCCAAAAGAAAATCATTTCTCCCCGAACGGCGATCCGGCCGTCATCGCGTTCCTCGTCCCCCTGGCTTTCCCCGGCTACGCGCAATAGGAGGGAGCGGTCAAGTCCCGCAGTATCCAGGGGGCGCAAAGCACGTCCAGCCACAGCCGGCCGGGCGACTCCATTGCATTCCCGTGGCAGCAGCGTGGCCCTCTCTTCGCGTCTCACACGTTCCGCGGTTCTGCGGCGTGAGTTCAACACTTCCGATAAGCCTGAAAAACAACCCCCGGAAAATTTTTGGGGGACGGCTGATCGGATGCGTTTAAATACCCCACGCGTATCGGCTGACTTTCTTGACACGCGGATGGAACCAAAGTGGGGAGCAGGTACTTTTCTCCCATGGAGTTTGGTTGGTATTGCTGCTGTGCCACGGCACTCTCAGGGTCAAGCGTCGGCGTTTGCTCGCTGTGATGCACCCCTGACGCCCCGAGGAACGAGAGCTGCAGCTCTTCGCGTGGAACACGTGAGGCGCAAACTAAATCTTGATAAATTGCCGGCAGGCTCTGCTGCCCGGTCGCGTCGTTTTGAACGCACAGATGATTTGGGAAAGACAGTGCTTGGCGCCATGGATGCGAATTGCTACGGGAATGGAGGAGGTGTGGGGCGGCGAAGTGAGCTGCCACCCATTCCGGAGCTTTGGGAGATCCGCATGCCGCACAAAGCGACTAGAATTGCTCAGAAAAGAAAAGAAGACACGGCGTTGGATTTTGGTAATGGTCCCAACTCCTCCACGAATAGAATTTTGACGGCTGAAACACAAGATCATTTGCCAACGGAGGAGGCACCCACAGGAGAAACCAACGGCTTTCACCTTGGCGTTGACCACATTGGCGGACTTTTCGAGGAGGAGGGAATTGCCTCCATATCGTCTAAAGTGGATAGTGGGAGCTGCGCGACCGTGATGACCGGTGAAGTTGAGGGAATGCAGGGGTGGAATGCCCTGGCGGAGGATCACGATGCTTTCCATCGCAAAACAGGTGATGAAAAAATTGAACAGGCGATTTTGCCTGCTCCGAGTGGTTCATGTCGAGAGTCAGGGACAACGGAAGGGTTTTGCGAGGAAGTGAAGGCAGCTTCGCTGCCAGGTGTCACGGCTGACAGGGAAGGCACTCTTCCGCCCATAGATGTTGTGGAGTCGTTGCATGAATGGACCTCCGATGCATTTTCTGAAGACACATGTGTCACGCCACAGAGCCTGGACAGAGAAATAGTGGAGGCGGTGATTGATTCCCCTTCCTATTGGCGTGAGGAAACGTTGCCAATGGTGGAAAGAAACGCCACCTGCTCATCCCCATCCGAGGTGAGTGCTGAAGAGGACATCCCGCTGCCTGTTAACCCTAGAGGGAGGGGAGAAATGGATGCTCCTATCACCGGCTTACCCGCACTCTCTATGACAGGCGGACTCTCTTCCATATCACCTTTAAGGCGTGACCTGGCGGAGCGGTTGGCATTGGTTCGTCGCCATCATCTTCTAGAGCACGCGGCGTTTAAGAGACCAAAGAGGACGAAGCGGACCTCAATTGGCACGTTAAGCAAGTACAAAACCCTCCGGCGAGTGGTTTTCATGAACACCATGAGGATTTTCTTTCACAAATGGACTGCCTGGACAAGGGTTCTTGCAGGGACGAGGAGTAGATTGGCGGATCAAGCGGCCCTTTTTACGTGCGGTAATGAACAGACCGTTATGGTTCCCTCTGCGGCCGTGAGAGAGCGGAAATACACAATTTGCAATGAAAGTGCGACGTCAGGAAGGGAGTACGTCACGCACCGACGAAGGACGGATGTGGTGCGGGAAGAGCCATCAGCGGAGAGGCACGTCAAACCAACACGTCCCCATTTGTTGCTGAAGGAGAAGAGTCCCCCGCCGTTGTCACAGAAACTGCTGGAGGAGGCGTGCCTTGGGCAGTGGACAGCTGGCAGCGGGAACCCAAGCCGACCGATGGAGAAGGACAAGGAATCCATATGCAGCTTTACTGGCACTAGTTTTTCCTCATACGCTTCAAACACGGAAGCGGAGGCCTGTTTTTCTGCCGGGCCATGCGGTGCGTTTGCCGATCACAGGGCGGATGGGCGCTCCACGACCGCCACGCCGCTGGAATTTCCGCGTCCACAAACTCCTGTCAACTGCGCCGTGCAGGAGATGGAACGCACGTCCAGTCACACGCTTGGTGCATCGCTCAATTCAGGAAGGAATTTATCGATGGATGACTCAAAAGGAAGCATAGACATAGAGGGGGCCATACCCAGCGCCAAGAGAGATTTCAGTCCTCTTTATAAAATCAAATACCTCCATTCTGCACTGTAGATCCTTAAAAACACGCCACCGGAGAAGAGAAACGACAGAAAAAAAAAAAAAAAGAAAGGGGAGTTGAAAAGTTGGGAAGAAAGAGGCCGGAATAAGAGAGACAAGAAATGACGAAGAAACGCTGACAAGTCTTTCGATGATTCCTGTTGCGTGCCTTTCATGTTGTGATGTGCTTAAAAAAAAAGTATTATTTTTTTTTTTACTGAAAATTATTTACGTTTTTTTTTTATTATTATTTATTTATTTATTTAGGGATGAATAAAAGCAGGGAAACTCAAAAGCAAAAAGATAAATAAATGAATGTCCATTCAGCGATGGCGCCCCGTGTTTGCAACAGTAGCAGCTTTTTAGAGAAGAATTTGGGTTGCAAGTCGACGATGATAGAGTTCATGGCATATCATGACGATGCTCAGGAGATTATGCTCGACCCCTACGACAAGGCGACATCCACGCAATGGCAACTCCACCAAGCAGCCGACCCAGATTATAGGGAAGGTGCATCAGACGCCGTTGATCAGTGTTTGGCGGATGACATGTCGAATGGAGTCTTTAGTGTCTCCCTAGAGAGGGATGTAAATGACAATGAAACCCCCGGTCAAATACTCACTGTAACGCACGCTGCCGACAGTCGATGCAGCTCCGCATGGCAGTCATTTGAGTCCGTTGAAGAACTCTCTAGTGATCTCTCCATGGAGGAAAAGCTCCCGTTGAACGCTAGTGTTGCCAAAGCAAAGTCATTGTCCCTTCATCGCCTCACGGCACAGGTGTTACGTGCATACAAACAAATGAAACTTGTCGTCCAGCAACGTATTTACAGGCGATATTATATAAATTGGATGCGGTTCCTTACACAGAGACCGTCAAGGACAGTAGAAACACAAACAAGACAAAATGATGTTTTGTGTGCAGAAAACCCAGGAGGCGCCTTGACCCACAGTGTTGTACGGGTATCTGCAATTGATGTCCTATCACTACCCCTACCCTCTTTAACTTCTGCCTGCAGAAGCGAATTTGGCGCACGTGATGATGCTAGTGGTAACCGCACGCAATGCGATCTGCGTGAGGGCTACCAGCCGATATTATTTTCTTCACGGAATGTATCCGTCACACCCCTTTGCGATCCTGCGACTTGGCCGAGAAAACCGCCATCCTCTCTGTCACTACGGTCACGAAGCGCACCCTTCCCCCTACAAGATTACGGCTGCCGGTCTTCGCCGCCAAAACGGGCTGTCACGCAGCTCCCCATGTTTCCTAACGTAACTTTACCCCTTCTTTTGGACACTGGTTGCCACGTCACGGTTTACCAACCCAACACTCTAAAGTAACCCCGCAAAACCACGTAGAGTGTATGACATCATCCCAAGACACTCCATACTTCATGGATCTTCTAAACGTCCTACTAGTGACGTGGAAAATAAAACAAACAACGAACCGTATTATATTTACACAATTTGCTTACATAATCCTGAGAACCACTGCAAAAGAAAAAAAATATTACACAATCAATTTTTAATCCTTATAGACAAATGAGACTCATATTTACTCTAATCCACAGCATCACACCCTCCTTTTCTTTTTTGATTTTTATTTCTTAGCATGATAGCAATTAACGATGCTGTCGAGCGTAAAGAACGTTATTTGCGGTGCGCACATCGCCCCTGCGCACGATGGGAAAAGTAGTGTAGACGTGGATGCGGAGACAGGAGACGTTGTTCTCTGCGACGGGCTGGCGGGTGTGTCACGGTTTCACTTTGACAGTGTGACGTACCACCCCTTCCACACCATGGCGTACGAGTCCGTGCTGGCGCGGCGTGTGGCGGAGAACTTTGGCGGTGGATGCCCATACGCCTGCGACACCCCTCCGTGTGCGACGCACGGAGTATTCATCCACGGGTCGCTCCGCATCCACTCAGTGGATTTGTTCCACGCGTTGGTGCTCTCGGCAGTCGGCCACGCCCTCGACGTGCTTGCGGAGACGAGTGTCGGTGACGTGCAGCTGCACTACAGCATGTTCCGTCTGTACTCGTGGGGCGTCACGGACACCCTGAACCAGCAGGTTGTGGCACACCGCCACGTTGGCGTCTACACGCACGACACGGACGAATGCTGCCGCCCACAGCTGCAGCAAAATGTCGTGAAGAGTCGCGAGGATGCTGCTCTTGATGCTTTACTGCGACGAGCTTGTGCGGTCCCTGAAGGTCATTCTTCCATTATCTTTAGTCTTGTTGCCAAATCGGCCAATGCGTCCGTGTCCGGCGTACTCACTATTGCCCTGTTGCCGCAGCTCAGTCAAGGGAATCGGTTCTTCCAGGGGGGCATGCAACTATTAAGAGAACTTATCGCAGGACACCCCGTGCCACACGACAGACCCTGCTGGTTACTCCAACACCTCTTCCCATCGAAGGAAATACGCAGTCTGGCGATGATCACCTGCATAACTGACGACCAACACTTTTATCAGGAAAACCATTACAACTGCATGTACGCTACATATTTGAAACCACCGCAATATCGACCAAAAGAAAAATCACCAAACGTAATATTACCATCAACAAAAGAACACAATACCATTAAAAAAATACCCACTCCAGACAGTATGCGCAAGTGTTTATCGCACCAAACAAATGATAAACAATACAACGTCAAAGAGTGCACGAACGACCTCCAAGAGCGTGCTGCTGCTGCCGAGGATGCCGCTCGCCGTCGCTGTGCCGCTGCAAGGGAGAAGGAGGAGGCTGCGAAGCGCCTGGAGGCGGAGCTGGAGGAACGCACGAACGACCTCCAAGAGCGTGCTGCTGCTGCCGAGGATGCCGCTCGCCGTCGCTGTGCCGCTGCAAGGGAGAAGGAGGAGGCTGCGAAGCGCCTGGAGGCGGAGCTGGAGGTGCGCACGAACGACCTCCAAGAGCGTGCTGCTGCTGCTGAGGATGCCGCTCGCCGTCGCTGTGCCGCTGCAAGGGAGAAGGAGGAGGCTGCGAAGCGCCTGGAGGCGGAGCTGGAGGAACGCACGAACGACCTCCAAGAGCGTGCTGCTGCTGCCGAGGATGCCGCTCGCCGTCGCTGTGCCGCTGCAAGGGAGAAGGAGGAGGCTGCGAAGCGCCTGGAGGCGGAGCTGGAGGTGCGCACGAACGACCTCCAAGAGCGTGCTGCTGCTGCTGAGGAGGCTGCGAAGCGCCTGGAGGCGGAGCTGGAGGAACGCACGAACGACCTCCAAGAGCGTGCTGCTGCTGCCGAGGATGCCGCTCGCCGTCGCTGTGCCGCTGCAAGGGAGAAGGAGGAGGCTGCGAAGCGCCTGGAGGCGGAGCTGGAGGTGCGCACGAACGACCTCCAAGAGCGTGCAAACGACCTCCAAGAGCGTGCTGCTGCTGCCGAGGATGCCGCTCGCCGTCGCTGTGCCGCTGCAAGGGAGAAGGAGGAGGCTGCGAAGCGCCTGGAGGCGGAGCTGGAGGAACGCACGAACGACCTCCAAGAGCGTGCTGCTGCTGCCGAGGATGCCGCTCGCCGTCGCTGTGCCGCTGCAAGGGAGAAGGAGGAGGCTGCGAAGCGCCTGGAGGCGGAGCTGGAGGTGCGCACGAACGACCTCCAAGAGCGTGCAAACGACCTCCAAGAGCGTGCTGCTGCTGCCGAGGATGCCGCTCGCCGTCGCTGTGCCGCTGCAAGGGAGAAGGAGGAGGCTGCGAAGCGCCTGGAGGCGGAGCTGGAGGTGCGCACGAACGACCTCCAAGAGCGTGCTGCTGCTGCTGAGGATGCCGCTCGCCGTCGCTGTGCCGCTGCAAGGGAGAAGGAGGAGGCTGCGAAGCGCCTGGAGGCGGAGCTGGAGGAACGCACGAACGACCTCCAAGAGCGTGCTGCTGCTGCCGAGGATGCCGCTCGCCGTCGCTGTGCCGCTGCAAGGGAGAAGGAGGAGGCTGCGAAGCGCCTGGAGGCGGAGCTGGAGGTGCGCACGAACGACCTCCAAGAGCGTGCTGCTGCTGCCGAGGATGCCGCTCGCCGTCGCTGTGCCGCTGCAAGGGAGAAGGAGGAGGCTGCGAAGCGCCTGGAAGCGGAGCTGGAGGTGCGCACGAACGACCTCCAAGAGCGTGCTGCTGCTGCCGAGGATGCCGCTCGCCGTCGCTGTGCCGCTGCAAGGGAGAAGGAGGAGGCTGCGAAGCGCCTGGAGGCGGAGCTGGAGGTGCGCACGAACGACCTCCAAGAGCGTGCAAACGACCTCCAAGAGCCTGCTGCTGCTGCCGAGGATGCCGCTCGCCGTCGCTGTGCCGCTGCAAGGGAGAAGGAGGAGGCTGCGAGGCGCCTGGAGGCGGAGCTGGAGGTGCGCACGAACGACCTCCAGGATCATGTGGCATCGGTGGTGAAGGGGGAAGTGGCGGCGAGGCAGGTTGTTTCAGAGTTGGTGTCGCAGGCTGATACTGTGCGGTCGGAGATTGTGTCGGGGGAACGGTATCTAGTTGAACTGGAGGGGAGAGTGCGTGACGCAAAGAGTCGTGAGGAAGAGCTTCAGCAGCATGTGAAGTCGCTCGAGGTGGAGGTGGAGGATCTTTCCGAGGCGAAGTTAATTGTTGAGTCGATGATGCGGGCTCTGATGCAGGAATTTGAAAGTGCTGTTGTGAGTGCCGAGAGCGCAGAGGATACGATGTTGCGTCATGTGGATCGTGCGGAGGAGGTTTTGCGTCTTTCTGAGGCGGACGCGGCGTCACGCGAGGCTGCGGCGATGGAGAGGATTCACGGAATGATTGATTCGTATCATTTGATGACCCCTGACGATGTGTTTCCGTTATCGTATGAGAGTGTTGTGTCTGCTGTGGCGGATCTGTTTGACCAGTTTGTTAGAATGAAGTTGGAGCTGCTTTTAGAGTCGTTGAAGTTGTCATGCATTTTGGTGGCTGGTGGTTGAGGTAGTATTGGTTGTATTTCGCGGTCTGGTATTGGTGCTTTGTTTTTTGTTGTTTTTGTGGGACCATGTGATACATTGTTTTTTGTCTTTTTTTTAGAGTTTAATTTTTGTACATCGTCTGTAATTGTGTGGATGCTGTTTTTTTTTTTTTTTTTGGAAGTCCATGTTTGTTCAGCTGATTAAGCGGAATGTATTTCTTTTACCTTTTGGGGCGTTGCTTCTCTGCGTT